CCGTCTCTACTAAAAAATACAAAAAAGTTAGCCGGGCGAGGTGGCGGGCGCCTGTAGTCCCAGCTACTCGGGAGGCTGAGGCAGGAGAATGGCGTGAACCCGGGAGGCGGAGCTTGCAGTGAGCTGAGATCCGGCTACTAGGCTCCAGCCTGGGCGAAAGGTGAGACTTTGTCTCAAAATAAATAAATAAATAAATGGTTCGAAGCTTTCCTTGTAACTAAAAAAAGAGGAGAAAAAAGGGTCCTTTTTGTCCCTGACATATGAAAGCCAGCATTTTCTGAGGCAGTTGCCTTCCCTGAGCGGGGCTGAGGGCCGGACCCTGGGCTCCTCCCTTCCTTGACCCTCCCTGCCCGCACCAGGCCTCGCGTTCTCTGGGAAACTGAACTGGACCCTGCTTTCCCGTCAAATCCAACAACTGCCCATCAGCTCAGGATGCCTTGCATAAGTATCTGTAGCATTTGCTCCCCAAATTTACTTGAATAATTTTAAAAGAAAACTCTACTGTTACCAAAAATGGAAAATCATTTTCTTAATAAGTAGGAGGGATCCCCCAAAGTGAATGCATTGAACCCTCCTTGTTTTTTTAACTTCTGTTGGAGACTGGAGCACAGGAGGCTGCTGGTGGAGCCTGCCCGAGTGTGAAAGTCAGGCTCACCCCTAAATAAGAAACCTCTTTGTAATCAGAAGGATTGGAAACTAACTGGAAAGGGCAGACCTGCCTCAACTCAGGACTCTGTGTTTTTAAGTACTGTAGCCGTGCACTTCCAAAACTCATCTTGCAAGGCTGCAAGCCACTTAGAAATGAGTGCTCAAAACAGAAGGCTTGAACGTGAGGGATGCAGGCTACAGGGCATTTCTGTCCAGCCACCTGCAGGGCCTTCATTCAGCTGAGTTGTCCGTGAGCACTGCACAAGAAGTGCCAATTGCAAGGCTAGTCCAGGGCTCCGGAGTCAAATTAAAACTGTGTCCCACTTCCTGCCCCACTGCTAGGTGACATTAAGCCCTAGACTTCTAGGACCCCGATTTCCTCAAGCCAATCAATACATGTTCATTGAATGCCCTTCCTAGCTACCAGGGAAACGGGGAAGAGAAAATGTGATTCTCACTGTAAGGATGCCGAAGACCATCCCCTCTCCTTCCCCTCTCCTTCCCGTTTCCTTCCGGTTGCTTGGGGTCCTGCAGAGCAGGTGCCCCGCTGCCTGTGTTACAGGGCTTCTCTCAGAGGCCTGCTGGGAAGCAACGGCTTTGGGGGGATGCCTGTTTGTAGCCTTTGCCCATTTCCATGCTGGTGGATTTCCTGCTATCTAGAGGACGCACAGGAATGCACATCTAGACCTAAAGCATTTCCTTCCCCCAAATGCAGCAGAGGTGGCAACCCCAAGAGCCTCGGGAATGGTGAAGTGCAGTATGCTAATTAGGGAGTGATGTGTCCTGAGGAGCTATTATCTCTGTTTTTAATATAATTCCTTTAATTATACATTTGTATCATTTAATTTTAATATTGGCCATATTTAACAACACATATGCAAATAATCTCGCCGTCAGCGTTTGTGGGTTCGTTTTGGTCGGAACCGGGTGGCACACACCGCTGCCTGCTGAGCCTGCAGATACAGAAAGTTCCACAGTAACTCCCCGGACACAGCCCAGGGCAGGGGCTCAGGCAGCGCCTGCACTCTGTTCTCCCTGCCTGCTCTTGGTTGCGCCCTCTCGTGTCACTCCAGTCTTAGCGAGGCTCTCCTCTCCTGCTGGCACAGAGGTGGACAACAGTCCCAGGGGGTCCCTGGGGATCCTTGGGGATCCCAGCAGAAGGTCTCTGGCCTCTGGATCCCAGAGATGTCCTGAGCCAGGGGCCATACAGTGCTCAGTTTGCTCGGCCCTGGCCACTCCCCTCCCCCGGGTCTGGAGGTGGAGGGCAGCATTGTGTGGACGAGAGCTGGGGACAGGAGTCCCAGGGAACATCCGGTGGCATTAGAGAACAGAGGGCTGTGACTGTCCGGCAGTCAGAAACATGGAGGGTCCGCCACAACCTCAGAAGCTCCTGGTCGAAAACTGTGCAATCCTGTTTCAGCATTCTGTCGGAGGCTTTACAATCTGGAGATATTTTTAAACCTTTTGGTGCTTGGGGTTGTCAGATTTCGGAAGTAATACACACTTGTTTAACAGGGGAAACGGTAATATTCATGAGGGTGAGTTAATCGCCTCCACAGCTCCTTCCTCCCCCACCTGCGGGGGCTCCTTCCACGCCCGGCTGCTGGCTATGCCGACTCAGACACACGTGCACGGTGCAGGGGTTGCTTTGCGTTTGCTGACGTAGACCCAAAACACACACAGGATTCTGCGCCTGGCTTTTTTTCACTGTGCAGTAAAGCTTGGGGTTCCCTACCAGAGAGAGCCCTGAAAACAGGAGGGTTTGCTCTCGCTAAACTGGAGACTGGGAGCTTTTCATTCATTGCTCTTCCTGAAGGCGTAGAAGCGCAAAGATCTCTTGAGATTTCTAAATTTGGTCAGAGTGTACAGGGCCGTGCAGGGTGCCTGTGTGCTAAAAATACCAGCCCGGGTCTGGGGTGAAGGCTGCGTGCTCAGAGAAGGGGCTGTGGGGAAGATGGCTGGAGGCACACCTGGGGTCCCAAACAAGGCTGCCTCAGCCTCCTCCTAGGGCTGGGGCCTCCCCACACTGACATCCAGGCTGCCAGCCATGCATATGGCACAATCATGGCTTAGGGAAGCTGCCCCAAATTGAGTAACCCTTCACCTGAGATCCTACACCCAGGGGTTGAACACCACCTCGGGATTGGGATCCTATCTAGGACTCACCCGCACTGACATTTACTTATTTCCAACTCACTTTTTAAAATCAAATGCATTTATATTAAAGTAAAATCTCACAGTGCTACAGTACATAGGAAACCTTATCACTTGTCATAAACGATAATGATAGGTAGATATAATATATCTCATATATAAACTGATAATAGGCCAGGCGCAGTGGCTCACACCTATAATTGCAGCACTTTGGGAGGCCGAGGCAGACAGATCACCTGAGGTCAGGAGTTCGAGACCAGCCTGTCCAACATGGTGAAACCCCGTCTCTATTAAAAACACAAAAATTAGCCAGGCATGGTGGCAGGTGCCTGTAATCTCAGTACTCAGGAGGCTGAGGCAGGAGAACTGCTGGAACTCGGGAAGCGAAGGTTGCAGTGAGCTGAGATCACGACATTGCACTCCAGCCCAGGTGACAACAGTGAGACTCTATCTCAAAAAAAAAATTAAAAATTTTTTTTAAAAATTAGTTGGGTGTGGTAGTGCACACCTGTAATCCCAGCTACTTGGGAGGCTGAGGCAGGAGAATCCCTTGAACCCGGGAGGTGGGGTTGCAATGAGCCAAGATCGTACCACAGCACTCCAGCCTGGGTGATACAGCGAGACTCCATCTTAAAAATAAAATAAAAATAAATAAATAAATAAATAAATATTACCATTACTGTTATTAACATTTTTGAGTGTTTGCTCTGGGTAGGCACTGTTCTGATACACTAGCATATTAACTGGTTTAATCCTTGCAACAGTCCCTGGGGGACGTCCAGCATTGCCGCCCCCTCCTAATATCCTCATTTTAGGAAAGTAGTTTAGGGCCTTAAAAAGACACATCGCTACTAAACCAAAGACAGGGATCACTGAAATCGTAGCGAAACACTGCTGGTGGATTTTGAATCTGAATTTACTTATGCATTTGCTTTATTCATTCATTCACTGATTCCCTCATTCATTTGTTCAGCAAGTGTCTGCTGAGAACCCACTCTGTGCCCCACACTGGGAAGGCGGGTGAGTGGGTCCTGTCCCAGCCCTCCTCAGTACAACAGGCACAGTGTGGTGGGCACTTTGGAGCCACAGGGTGGGTGGGGAACAGGGTCCCAGCCTAGGCAAGGAGGGTGCCGCTGCGTCAAGTTTCTAAACTTTTAAGGATGAAAATAGGTGAAATAAGGGAAGAAAGGAGGAGGACATGGCAATTCAGGTACATTTTTTAAAAATGGGTGAGGCTGGGCATGATGGCTCATGCCTGTAATCCCAGCACTTTGGGAGGCCGAGGCGGGCGGATCACGAGGTCAGGAGATCGAGGCCATCCTGGCTAACACAGTGAAACCCCGTTTCTACTAAAAATACAAAAAATAGCCGGGCGTGGTGGCAGGCGCCTGTAGTCCCAGCTACTCGGGAGGCTGAGGGAGGAGAATGGTGTGAATCCAGGAGGCAGAGCTTGCAGTGAGCCGAGATCACGCCACTGCACTCCAACCTGGGCGGCAGAGCAAGACTCCGTCTCAGAAACAACGGATGAAGCAAGTTTCATGTCTTCGTTGGATACCCCTATTGTTAACATACCGGTAAAAGAATTTAACCTCATTTTCTTTATCTGTAAAATGGAAACAATGGTACCAGTTTCAAAGGATAACGTCAGATTTTTGTTTTGTTTTGTTTTGTTTTGTTTTTTGAAACAGAGTCTCACTCTGTTGCCCAGGCTGGAGTGCAGAGGCATGATCTTGGCTCATTGCAACCTCTGACTCCTGGGTTCCAAGCGATTCTCCTGCCTCAGCCTCCCGAGTAGTGGGGACTACAGGCGTGGGCCACCGTGCCCGGCTAATTTGGATAACATCAGTTTTAAAACATTACAGCTGTGCCTGCCACAGAGTAAATGCTCAAAATATGTGACTAATCATAATCATTATTTTTATTACTGTTGTTGGCAAATGATCATGTTTTCCATTTACCATAGCTACGTTATAAAGTTTATTGTTTTCATATATTTGATTTTTTAAAGTGTGTTGGCAGTGGCAGGCTCTCGGCGAGTTTAAGCTCTTATCTGTGTGACCATCTTCACCCTCGTTTGCATGCGTCCTGGAATTTTATGAGCACAGCACACCAAAAAATTTACTTGCAATTTCCCCCATGTCCCTTTTGTCTTCCTGAGGCTTTATTTAGAAAGAAGTGGAAATCCAAGCCCCTTCTTGTAAACTAATAGCAGTTCATTTATTTGATGGGGGATTTAAATTCCTTACCAAATGGTAAAAGCAACCCAATAACTAGCAATATTTCTAAGCAGCACAATTCACAGCGCGGGACTTCCTGCACCTGATTTAGACGGCAGAATATTTGTCTTTCATCACCGAAGTCTCTCTCAGCAAAGCAAGGCAGTTTTGCAAGATCCTCTACCCAGAGCAACCAGACTCAGTTCGAAGAAGTTTAATTTTGCCTCATCTCTGTCCACCTCCAAATGTGTCCAGCACGTGTGGAAGTGTCTGCTCAGGGAAAATTAAAACTCTAGAATGTCGGTTTAAATCCAGTGACAGAAGTTAGAGCTGGACTCTGAGTCAGGCCAGCCTGGCCTATTCCAGCCACCGCCTCCCATTTGTAAGGAACACCAAGCTAGTCACCGCCTCCCAGCTTCATTTCCTCATCCTCTCTCCGTGCCTCAGTTACTCTCTCTGGAAACAGGCTGCCTCTGTGACTCCGGAGATCTTGAAATGAGATCATTCAGGGACACCCGCTTAGTACAGACCCTCATATTTAATTAGTGGTAAGCAAGTGTTTCCTATCATCATTGTTACTATTATTATTATCGTCTGTAGAGTGGGCACAAGCTCACTGTGGCTGCAAGGTGACCTGGGAATTACAGGGAGCAACACTGGGTGGCACCTACCCTTTAAAAGCAGCTCTAGAAATCTGGACCAAGCTGTGAGCAGGCATCCAGGGTGCAGCAGGGAGTGAAGGAAATGCCAGAGAAGAGATGTCTCAGAAGGGCTGTAAAAGGAAAAGAGAAGGGAGGCTGAGGAGGGTGGAGCACTTGAGGTCAGAAGTTCGGGACCATCCTGGCCAACATGGTGAAACTCTGTCTCTACTAAAACCCCATCTCTACTAAAAATACAAAAATTAGCCGGGTGTGGTGGCGCATGCCTGTAGTCCCAGCTACTTGGGAGGCTGAGGCAGGAGAATCGCTTGAACCCAGGAGGTGGAGGTTGCAGTGAGCCAAGATCATGCCACTGCACTCCAACCTGAGCAACAGAGCGAGACTCTGACTCAAAAAAAAAAAAAAAGGAAAAGAGAATCCTTAGGAAAGAGAATGGGACTGCAACGGCGGGAGAAAGCAGGGTGCCCCTCCCCACAACACACACGGCCAAGCGGAGCCCACGGCCTATACAACTGAGATGAGAGCTGGGTGGGGCGTTCTGCTGTCGCCTGTCATGGTCATAACAGGAATCGCAGTTACCAGAGCCCCTGTGGGATGTCCCAGGCCCCCCTTAAGCCAAGCAGTTTACACCAATTATGTTGGATTGATTTCGTCTGTAATCTTCATACCTGCCCTGGGAGCAAAGTGCCATCATGATCCACCTTTTACAAATGTCAAAAGCAAGGCACAGAGAAGTTAAGAAACATACCCTAGGTCACACAGCTCCAAGGTGGAGTTGGGATTTGAGCCTGGGCAGGGTGATGCCAAAGCCCACCTACTCGACTGCCCCGGATCTGCCCCCAGCTGCCTTCAGAGTATGGGTGCTGATGGCCCCCTCGGCTCTAGGCCTCAGCGGAAAACCACCCTTGGCCATTTGGTGTTTAACTCCCAGATTCCATGCTGTCCTCTGGTGCGGCTGGGATCAGGGTTGTGAGGTGTTTGCTTGGGCCTTGGGTGGGAGGGGGCGTGTCTGGGGACGTGCGTGCCAGAAAGAATGAATGGCCTTGGGAGTGGGACAGAGACAAGCTAGGGAGGCAGGGACCCCCGACAGGCCTGAAACAACGACGGCTGAAGCTGGGCCGGGGGGGGGGGGGCCCAGATGGGCCCAGAGGTCTCCTCGGGGTCCACAGAAGGAGGATGCTATGGACACAGCTTTCCAAAGTTTCCTTGCCACCCCAGCTCACAGCTACCCTTCTGTGTCTGCACTGGCTATTTAAAAAAATTCAGATCTAGCAGAATTTGGAGCATAATTTCCAAATGGCAATTCTGTTCCTAAAACTGAATCCAACCTGTTGCCTAATATAATCCCAGGGGCTTGTTTCTGACCCTCCAAAGAGGTCATTCCCACAGCCCTGGGACCTGAATTCTGCCACCGACCCAAGTGAGCAGGAAATGGGCTCTCCCCGAAAGCCACCAGGAGGAACACAGCCCGGCGGACACCTTGACCTCAGCCCTGTGAGTCTATTTCATGCTTCTGGCCTCTAGAACTGGAGGGGAATAAATGTGTGGTGTTTGAGTCACTACCTTTGTGCATTTGTTACAGCAGCAATAGGAAACAGGTGCATTTCCTCTGTTGATTTTATTAATAGAATGTTAGTAATTTGCTGGCGTTGCTGGAGTTGGTGAGTGGCAAGCTGGGAACTTTACAGTCATTTCGTCCACAGCCTTCACCCGAGTCTGACCAGGAGGAGGGACCCGGCTCAGAGGAGGAAGGACGTTTTCCAGGGCCCCTCAGGACCTGAAGCCTGGTCAGTCTGACACAGAAGTTACCCCACTCAGGCAGTACCCACCAGTGTCTCTACATCTTGATATGATCTTTGGCTAAAAATGAGACAATTCTTAGACCCATAGAAGGATTCTACTGAAGAAGACACTAAAAACCATTTAATCTGATTTTAGTTATTTTGAAGATGAGCAAAAAGAGGCCCAGAAGGATTAAATGACTTGTCCGAGGGCCGGCGCAGTGGCTCATGCCTGTAATCCCAGCACTTTGGGAGGCCGAGGCAGGCGGATCATGAAGTCAGGAGACCAAACCATCCTGGCTAACATGGTGAAACCCCGTCTCTACTAAAAATACAAAAAATTGCCGGGCGCGGTGGCTCACGCCTGTAATCCACACTTTGGAGGCGAGGCGGGCGGATCACAAGGTCAGGAGATGAGACCACGGTGAAACCCCGTCTCTACTAAAATACAAAAATTAGCCGGGCGCGGTTGTGGGCGCCTGTAGTCCCAGCTACTCGGGAGGCTGAGGCAGGAGAATGGCGTGAACCCGGGAGGCGGAGCTTGCAGTGAGCCGAGATCGCGCCACTGCACTCCAGCCTGGGCGACAGAGTGAGACTCCGTCTCAAAAAAAAAAAAAAAAAAAAAAATTAGCTGGATGCGGTGGCGGGCGCCTGTAGTCCTAGCCACTCGGGAGGCTGAGGCGGGAGAATGGCGTGAACCCAGGAGGCGGAGCTTGCAGTGAGCCGAGATCACGCCACTGCACTCCAGCCTGGAAGACAGCGAGACTCCGTCTCAAAAAAAAAAAAAAAGTGACTTGCCTGAGAACGCATAGCCAATCTCCTTAAATGGAATGATGTTCCATTCAGTTCCTCCCTGTAGCCGGAACAGACCTGACCGGGCCGACTACAACACTATCCACTCTCTCTCTTGCCCAAGTTGTAAGACCCCCAGTTTTCAGTTTTCAGGGGGTTGCATGGCCACCCAGGATAAAGACTACATTTTCCTTGCAGTGAGGTATGGCCTCATGACACAAGGAGGTGAGCGGAAGTTTTCTAAAGTATTCTTCAAAGGAACAGGGGACATCCTTCTCTGTTCCTTCCTTCTTCCTGGCTGGAAAGAAGATGTGATGGCTGGAGCTCACGCAATAATTTTGGACCATGAGGATGGCAGAGTCGTGAGTCACCCTAAAGACGTTGTGGAACCTCCTCCCGGCCCTGGAATGCTGCCCCAGACTTCATTTTTATAGGAAATAAAAATATGCCAGGAGAATTCAGTTTCTTTTTTTAAAAGCTATTGTGATTTTTGCTTGTTTTGCTTTCTGCCCCTTGTAGCCAAACCTCATTTAACTAATAAAGGAAAATATTCAAGTGACAGACCTTCTGGGAGAGAAAGATGTGATGTTTCAAAGACAGCTTCTAGTAAAGGCTCAATGCCAGCCTCCCCCTCCCACCATGACTGCTGACCCTTCTAAGATCCCACTGTGGCCTGCTGCTGCCAAAAAATGGCAGAAATTGTGCCAGAAAGTGCCAGAAATGGTGCCCTGTCTGCATGGTCCAGGATGGTTCACCCCCAGCTCGGCCCTCCTTGTGCCTCTAAGAGTACCCCCCAGTGGCCTGATGCCAGCCACAGGACCATCTCCAAATACTAACCACAAGGGAGGTGGGAAATGGAGGGTGCGTTCTGGGCCTCCACCTGCTGACACTCAGGGGCTTGTTACTATAGGAAGAACGGATCCTAGGGCCATCTAAGAGTCCTTGCCTCATGGGGGCTCAACAGCTATTGGGTAGACATCAACTTGATGAGCAAATCCCCTTCTTGTCCCCTAGGCCGAGGGCTGTACTTCCCCAAACTCATCGTCCTGCAGAGAAGCAGATATTGAGATCAGGGTTGTACCAGAAAATCCAGGCCCTCTGGTGTGTTCATACTTTCAGATGCTCAGGGACTAGCTCAGAGCTCAGGCTCTGCAGTCAGATGGCCTGAGTTCAGATTCTGACACTGTCTCTTATTTAGCTGGGTAGGTGCATTCATTTCCAGGGGCTGCTGTAAACTGCCACAACTTCAGTGGCTTAAAACAGCACAAAGTGATTCTCTTATCGTTCTGGAAGTCAGAAGTCTAAGATGAGCTAAAATCAAGGTGTTGGCAGAACTGCGTTCCTTCTGGAGGTTATGGCGAAGAATCCATTTTCTTGCCTATTCTGGCTTCTAGAAGCCTGCATTCCTTGGTTCATAGCCTCTTCCTCCATCTTCAAGGCCAGAAAAGACTGGTCTTGTCTTTTTCATTCTGACACAGACCCTCCTACCTCCCTTTTCCACATTTAAAGGACCCCTGTGATTATACTGGACCCACCCAGCAACCCACAATAACCTCCCTCTCTTAAAGGCAGCTGACCGGCAACGCTAGATCTATGTGCCACTCAATTTCCCAGCCGTGGAAGGCAGCACATCACGGTTGCAGGGATTAGAACATGGACATCTTTGGGAGCTGTTACTCTGCCGACCTCGGCAAGCTTTTGAAACCATTTTACCTCCCTGAGTCTGTTTCTTCGCCTCTAAAAAGAGAATAAGAAATATCTAACTCCCACGGACATTGCAGTGAAGAAAAAATATAATGGACCTGAAGCAAGGGCCTCAAACTGGCCACCCACAGGCTCCACCCAAGCAATCAGCATGATTCGCCTCCCATCCAATCTCCATGAGTTGCTAATATTTTTTAGCTGGCATATTTCACATTAAAATTCAAATTTCCTGTTTCTCTTAACTGATAGGAGGATCTTACCCACTAGATCTGCTTTCTGGGGTGTTGACAATCAGCTGCACTTAGCCGTGGCTGCCCCTTTGGGACAGGCCGTGGTTCCCCAGTTCACCACAGTCCCAGCTTTTCCCTATTGTCTCTCCCTCAGTCCACTTCTTCCAATTACATGCCCTGCCAGGCCCCCAGAGGGAGCTCGATTTGAGACATTTGCGAAGAAGCGTCAGCAGGCAGAAGCAACTTCATAAAGGATAGTTAATATTATTTCTATTAGCGAAGATCCATTAACAGGGCAATTCTCAAGTTTAGCTGTGCATTAGAATTCCCTAGGGAACTTTAAAAACTGCTAGTGCCCAAGCCACACCTGCATGAATTACACGGGAACTCTGGGATAAGGCCCAGTTCAGGATTGCTACAGCTCCTCAGGGATTCTGGCCAGGGCATTTTCAGACACTCCCTGGGAGCCAGAGCTCAGGCAACGTGGAGCAGACAGAGCTGATGTGCAAGGCTGTGAGGTAGAACTCACCTCCCCAGTGTCCCCCGCAGGCAGAGAGGAAGAGAGGGCCAGCATGTGGATTGTGAAACCACTAATGAAACATGCCAGGCTGCGACAATGAGCTACGGCTGTCTGCACATCCGCTTCCTGCTGTGAAGAGCTGAGGGGCTGCCTGGACGCTTGTGGAAGCTTCCCGAACTCAGTCAGTCCTTCACAGAGCAGTAGGGGCGAGTCCATGGATTCCTTTCCTTCTCTCTGTACACTCCCAAGACGTAGGAGCCTGTGAGGCCCCCCGGCTGCTTGTGCAGTGATCATCCTCCTCCTGCTCTTTATTCCAGAGATGGGAAATCCCTGCTGCATGGGTACCTGAAAGTTCTGGCAACTCGGATGCAGGATCAAAATGTGGTTCCACTATTGGTGATGAACCATAAGCCATACCATTTATCATTATTTATTATTATTATTATTATTATTATTAGAGACAGTGTCTTACTCTGTTGCCCAAGCTGGAGTACTGTATTAGTTCATTCTCATACTGCTAATAAAGTCATATCCAAGAATGGGTAATTTATAAAGGAAAGAGGTTTAATGGACTCACAGTTCCACATGGCTGGGGAGGCCTCACAATCATGGCAGAAGGCAAATGAGAAGCAGTCCCGTCTTACGTGGCGGCAGGCAAGAGAGCTTGTGCAGGGGAACTCCTATTTATAAAACCTTCAGATCTCGTGAGACTTATTCATTACCACAAGAACAGTATGGGGGAACTCATACTGTTCAATTATAACCCCGCGATTCAGTTATCTCCAGCTAGCCCTGCCCTTGACACATGGGGATTATTACCATTCGAGGTGAGATTTGGCTAGGGACACCACCAAACCATATCAAGTACAGTGTTGTGATCACTGCTCACTGCAGCCTTGAACTTACAGGCACAAGCAGTCCTCCCACCTCAGCCTCCCAAGTAGCTGGGACCACAGGTGCCCAACACCACACCTGGCTAATTTTTAATTTTTTCACTATGTTGCCTAGGCTGCCATTGAGCCTCTGGGCTTAAGCGATGCCCCTTCCTTGGCCTCCCAAGGTATCGGGATTACAGGTGTGGCCACTGCTCCAGCCCCCATTTATTAAGTGTATTGAACAAATATTTATGGAACGCCTGCCGTGTACCAAGTGCTATTCTAAGTGCAAGGGATAAAAGGGATGGAGTCCTTGTCTAAAGGACTTGGTGAAATAGCAGGTGGCGCAGAGGGTGTCCGTGCTGTGGACGAAGCGCAGCAATGGGAGCAGGGAGCTCTAGGAAGAGGAGGGTGAGTTAATCATTTCTTAAGGGGGTGCTGAGAGAATTTGACAACTGAGCAAAAGGAGAGTCTTGTGAGAGAAGGATTCCAGGCAGGTGACAGCAAGGACCTGGGGTAGGTGTGGAAAGGAGGCCTAAGGACTATAGGCCACGCTTGCCCATGGGACCTTGATCCAGGATTCCAACCGGTGCTTACCTAATCCCTAAGCCCAGGCTCTGACCCGCATGCTCAGGTGGTTTTGCTCCATCTCTGCTGAAGTCTAGTTTGGCCCCTCTGCAAGGTCAGAAGTACCACCGTGGCTGCTCTGGTTAGCGCCCACCCTGAGGGCCCACCCAGTCCATCCTGCTGCCCTGTAGGGGAGAGGCAGAGGCTCAGAGGGGACAAGCCACTGACTGGGAGGCCGAGGGGCCTGGATAGGCCTTGCTCTTGTGCCATCCCGCATCGCCCCGGCTCTGGAAGTGTCCTTTGGAAAGAGCAGCCTGGGCAGCCAGAACTTCCTTCGTGACTCCCTCACAGGGAGGGGGAGAGGTGAGGGCCAGACGCCTTTGCTTTTCCAGACAGCCCTCACAGAGAGAATGGTCCCCCCAAGCCAGGATGTCCCCGTGATCCTGGGGGCAGCTCCACCTCTGGGGGCGCATAGCCCAGGCGCCCCGGGCCCACTCAGAAGGCAGACACCTGGGCCAGGGCAGGGGACTGTTCCCTGTTGGCCTCCGAATTCTGGACAGTTGGCTTTTGTGGGGAGGCTGCAGGCCCCAAGCCCATCTCCCATCCTCACCCACCCGAGCATCACCCTGGAGACAGAGGGGAGACCCTGGGAGTGTGGCAGCTGCCACTCCATCTCCATCGACCAGTGCGGCCATGTTGGACTCATGTGTTAAAGGAAATAGTGAGGTCAACCCAGAAACGTGAATCCTTGTTACCAGCTCCCACCCCCTACAGTTTAGATTCCCGGGGCAGGAGAAGCTAAATGACCCCCGCTCCAAACCCCCACTGGGCACCTGGCCAGCACAATTGTGCCTGCCCTGGACATGAGGGGAAATGGAAACAAGAGGGGAGGGAAGAGGAAAGGAAAGGGCAGAGAGAGAGGATGCAGGGAAAATGAGAGAGAAGGGAAGGGAGGGAGGGAGGGAGGGGAAAGTAGGCTGTGGCTCTCCCTGCACTGCCCCGGAGAATTAAGGCTTCTCTCCTGCCCTAGATGGGGGTTCCTAACTCAGCCCCTTTGCAAGACCCCAGCAGCTGCAGCCTCGCCTTCCTGAGCAGGGGACAGGACCAGTGCTGCCACCCGCCTGGGCCTGTGGGTGCTGAGCAGCTCCTGTGCACGGGCAGGGAGGCTCCGGTCCAAAAGGCAGGTGAGACTCGGCTAGGGTCAGGCGGATGTTGGGCAGATGTTGAGAGGTCAGGGACTGCCGGCCCCCACCCCTCCCACAGAGATCACAGCCCCCTGAAGGAGACTGGCTGGTTGTCCTTGGAGCCAGGCCTGCAAAATGTATTCATGCCACTTCCAGGAACCTCACCTAAGGAGAGAGAAAAGTGGGGAGAGAAGGGGAGGGGAAGAAGAGAAGAGAAAAGGGAAGGGAAGGAGGTTGTGGGTGCAGAATTCCAGAGCCCTTTCAGATAACAAAGGACTATTTAAAATGACCGAAATCTTCAGCTGAGAGGCTAAGTTAAGGGTGCAGCCTGCGGGTTCAGCTGATTTAACCCAGCCCTGCGCTCAACCCTTTCGGCCCTCATCTAATGGAATCCACACAGTCACCTGGGAGGTAGGTCCTGTTCCATGTCACAGATGGGGAAAGAGGCTCACTGGCAGGAGGAAGGCTGAGGGCCCAGGGCGCTGATAGCATCGCCTCTCACACTCTGGTCAGCAAAGCTGTGAAGCCATTGTGTTCACCTCAGGACGGTGCCAGCAGCCAGCTGTCTGCACTCTTGACAACATTCCTTATTCTTCCTGTCACTTTAAGGCCCCTGGACAGACCAGATGCACGACACCCAGGTGGATCAGGAAGCGAATATGTAAACTTGAACCCAGGTGAGCTGGTGGGGGGACTCTAGCACCCCCTTTTCATTTAAAATGTTCTTAAATCAGCTTTAAACAAAGCGACTGTGAGAGGCTGAGTTCATTTCATGGGAGAGTTCTTTGCATGGAAGGTAGAACTTTCCACCTAGCTGAGACAGGAGTTCAAAGTGAACCTCATGCCTCATTTGACAGTGAGAAATCTGGCCGCCCTTTGCCACGCAAGACTCTCCTCAAGCAATCCCTCCCACCCCACCCCCAGCCAAGTCATCCCAGGGCCAAGTTCAAATGTCCCAGGGCCAGGCAAGCAAACTTCTGTGGGCCAGTGGCCCGGGCAGAGACAGGAGGGAGTGCTGTGTGTGTGTGTGTGTGTGTGTGTGTGTGTGTGCGCGCGCGTGTGTGGAGGGGTACATTTGCATGTGCACTGTGCCATTATTCTTACATAGAGCTGCTAATTTGCAATTTTCAGCAACATTCTTCTCTGCTGGAAGAGCAGCTGGGCTTGCTCGGGGGCCTCCATCTCCCTCTGGATTAGCTGTTCTGGGTTCCCTTCTCGGTCCTCCTCAGAACAGTGTGTCTCCCCATGGCTTTTCACGACCCAAAATAGCCAGAGGCAGCCTATTTTTACAGGACTCTGATAGAAGCCAGGCCAGGTGGGTGCTGGAGTCGGAATCCCTAATTGTCCTTTATCATCCAGCCCTCAGCCATCAGAGCGGGAGGCTGGAGGCACTCGAGAAGCCCCAGGAATGTTCCCACTGGCGACTGTCTGGGGAGAGTCAGGGCAGCCCATGGCCGGCTATAAAAAGGACACTCGGGCAGGTGGGAGCCAGGCACAGGCAGTCAGCTGAAAGGAAGCAGAGCCCTCCAGCGCCCCAGTCTGGGCTGCTCCTCTCCCAGAGCCTACGGGGCTCATTTCCCTAAGATTTGCCTGGCAGTTGTCTGGGGGCCTTAGTCAAAGCGCATGCAAATTCAAGCTCTGTGCCCCAAGGTTAACCCTTGATAAGTACTGTCCCTGAGAGCCCTTAACACACGCCCTGGGGAGTGGGGAGCTGGTGTTCTTTCATCCCCTAGACACACATTAAGCGCCTACTGTGTGCAAGCAGTGTGTGAGGGGCTTGGTTAGCAGGGTGACCCAGACAGCCTGGGTCCGATGGGGCTTAGGCCGAATGGGGAAGATGGCAATACAGAACAATTCAATGTCTGCTGTAACTGGTGATTCTAAGTGCTAGGATGAAATTTAAATCAGGATCATGCAAGAATGTTCTTAGCTGTTTATTTATAGTAGCTCAAACTAGAAACAATCCAAATGCTCATCAACAGAGTTTGGAGAAACAAAAGGTGACGCAACAGACCATGGAATATTCTAGATGGATGAGAACACATGAGGCACCCAGCCACGGGGATGCATCCCCACACACAGTGTGAGCAAAAGAAGCCAGACCAGGAGAACATACTGCACCTCCACACCCGGACCGCCCCAGAGCAGGAGAAGTCACCATGTGGAGTTCAGAAAGGGACTGTGGTTGCCCTCAGGAGGGGAGTGGCGACCTGTGGGCACGATGGGGCTCCTGGGATCATGTTCTAGTTCTTGATCTGGGTGCTGTTTACCCAGACGTGTTCACTTTGTGAAAATTCACTCATCTGGTTTCTTAAATGTTGTACACTTTTCTGTATGTATATTTCACAATAAAAAGTGTTTATAAAATACTGAAGCAGGGAAAGGGAGATGGAGAAGGGTGGTACAGGAATTAGGACTAAGATAAAATACACAATGCCCAGTTCAATTTGCATTTTAGATGAGCAGTGAATAATTTTTTAGTATAAGTATGTCGGAATATTGCTGGGCTGCCGGTGTTTCTAGGAGCCGCTGCCCCGGGAATGTGGGCCCTATCCCAGGAATCAGGCTTCCTGAGGTTTACAAACAGCACCGTGGATACCCTGCGAAGATGCACATCCCTGGTGGGACAGCAGATGGGCTAGGCTGGGATGTAGCCCGGGATGTGAATCCAAGGGTTCCAGAAGCACGCTGGGCAGCCTGGCTCTGCACAGAGAGCTGTAACTTGGTGCCAAAGAGCAGGGAAGCACCAGCAAGCTGCCCACAAGGACATCCTGTGTTTGCCGGCAGCCAAATGGGAACACCACACAACAGAACTGGAACAG